GCTAACAATGTTCAAGAGGAAGTGTACTCATTACCTCACTCATGTAACTGTAACCCTCTGTATAGTATCTTTACAATAAAAAAAAAAAAAGTGAGGGAAGCTTAAAATAAAAAAAATTTCTGCACAGCTAAAGTCACAGCAACCAAGCTAGAAAGACAACCAAGTAACTGGAAAAATTTACTAGCAATTTATCAGACAAGGGGTTAATATCCAATATATACAGGGAACTCAAGAAACTAATTCCTCCCAAACCCAACAAACCAATTACTAAATGGACAAGGGAACTAAAGAGAGACTTCTCAGAAGAAGAGATAAAAATGGCAAAGAAACACATGAGGAAATGTTCACCATCCCTGGTTGTAAAGGAAATGCAAAGAGATACTACCTTACCCCAGTCAGAAAGGCCCACATCCTAAAGTCAGCCAATGACAAATGCTGGAGGGGATAAAGAGAAAGAGGAACCCTATTACACTGCTGGTGGAAATGTACACTAATACAACCACTGTGGAAAGCAGCCTGGAAGGTCCTCAGAAAGCTAAATATTGACCTCCCCTATCAGCCATACTACTCCTAGGTATTGATCCTGAATAACAGGATACAAGGACACAATACAAGGACACAATAGCCAGGATATGGAAACAACCCAGGTGCCCCACCTCAGATGAATGGATCTAAAAATTGTGGTATCTATACACAATGGAATATTATGCAGCCATTAGAAAGAACAAAATAATGGCATTTGCAGGGAAATGGATGGAGCTAGAAGAAATCATGCTGAGTGAGGTAAGCCAATAGCAAAGAGTCAAACAGCACATGCCATGGTCTCCCTGATAAGTGAATGTTAAATCCAAATGTAAGGTGATACGACAGTTAACAAGACTTGAGAAACAAAGGACCCCCACTCATTTGGTCAAATCATTACTAAATAACACCATGCTGCTGATCACATATATGGTATATATGTGCACACTGGAGAGAAACTAGGAGGAGGACACAGAACTAGAAGGAATCAGGGAAAAACATACAACAGTGGGACCCATCAGCTGCACTGGACATTGATCAAAACAAACTAAGCAACTCAATGGCAGCGATGGGAGGGAGGGAACGAGTGGGAAGGAGGGAACAGCTATGCAAAAGAAAATAAATGTACATATCACCTGATGTGGAAAAAATAACTGTATTGTCAAAGCTCATAGAACTCATAAACTTTATAGATGATGATAGAAAATTTGCCCCATGAAAGTTAGAATGTGTTTGTGACTTTAACTAAGCATCACTATCCCACAATACTGTGAAATTTGTGAAATTATGTAATCACTTAATTACAATAAAGAATTTGCAAAAAAAAAAAAAAGTGAGGGAAGCTATGCACTAGTAGCTCACACTTGTAATCCTAGCTACTCAGGAGGCTGAGATCTGAGGATCATGGTTCAAAGCCAACCAAGGCAGGAAAGTCCTTTACTGTATTTTTCAAAAGTCAACAATAGTTCTTCCTTTGAAAAAAAAAAAGTAATAGTATGCAAACACAAAAGATTTCTTATTCCTTTCATAAAATGTTTAAGAAAATGTTATCAACTTACTCTGTGTTGATCTGGAAAAATATCCTTCAAACTTCCATCCCTTTCCTTCTCAGCACACCAGTTACTAGGGTAAAATGACATACCACCTTCCTGTTTTGTACTATCAACAGTACCTACAGAATTACCTGAAAAATAAATAGTTAATGGAACAATGTCAATGTTTGAGTAATCTAATAACTGCTTCTTATTAATCCAATTATTGTAGTAAGCCTAACACTTAGCACTCCCAGGACAAAAATAGTAAATTGCAAACAGGAGAAAATAAGCACCAGTAAGGAACAATAAACATGACAAATATGCTTGCATAAAGAGAATGAAGTTATCTATTCTTACATGTCTCAACAAAATATAATCATTCAAAACAGTCACTCCAAGATTAGTATTATATTGCTTTTTCACTTTTTTTTTGGGTCCGTTCATGGGGCCTGAACTCTGGGCCTGGGCGCTGTTCCTCAGCTCTTCAGCTCAAGGCTAGTGCTCTACCGCTTGAGCCACAGTACCACTTCTGGCTTTTTCTGCTTATGTAGTGCTGAGGAATCAAACCCAGGGCCTCATGCATGCAAGGCAAGCGCTCTACCACTGAGCCACTTTCCCAGCCCTTGTGCCAGCTCTGGGGCTTGAACTCAGGACCTGAGTGTCATTCCTGAGCTTTTTTGCTCAAGGCTAGTAATCTGCTATTTGGGCCCATCTCTACTTCCAGCTTTTTTGGTGCTTAATTGAAATGAGTCTTACCAACTTTTATTTCCAAGATGTCTTTAAACTGTGATCCTCAGATTTTCAGCCTCTTGCATACTAGGATAACAAGCATAAGCCCCTAGCACCCAGCTGGTATTATACTTCAATACTACCAATTTAACTTTGGTATTAATATACAATTATTTTAAGTGTCTCTCTAACAAGGTATTACACTAAAATTAAGATAAAAGAAGAGCACTGATGGATCACCCTTACAATCCTAGCTATTCAGCTTGTTATCCAGAGGATCACATTTGGAAGCCAGCCTGGGCAGAAAAATTAGTGAGACTCCATCTACAAAATAACTAACAAAAAACATTGCTGAGGAGAGTCTAGGTAAGCAAGCAAGCAAGCTGAGGCCCTGAATTCAAATTACTGCCCCAAAAGGAAACTAATTTACAATAACATATAAAACAAAATCACTTGGAAGCAAATTTAACCAACGAAGTAAATCATTTCTTATTCAGGCCTTATTAAAAGTTCTTTTGAAAAATTTTAGAGTGAAGATTTGAAGGGATAGAATAGTTAAAATACGATAAATCACAACAAAGAAATAATTTAAAGAAAAAAAAAGATCAAGTTAAGCACAGAATTTAAGAAAAATGAAATCAAAGTTCAACACTTACTGGTCCCAGGTAGACAAAAAGTGTGGGCTTCCTCAGACTCTTTGCAAACTGTTTCAGAACTTCTTAAAGAGTTTGAACCGTGGTGAGAACTGCTACATTCTGACTTAAAGCTACTGTCTTCAGTTGTCTGTTGAAAGAGTATCTTAGCTGTATTAATATTTTCAAATAAAATAAAGCATTTTGAGGAAGAAATGTGGAAAGCAGAAAATGTCTATTATACTGAGGGATTATAGGTTAACAAATGCTGGAGGATTTAGAAAAATCATCATTTCAACCACTAGTGTAATATTAGTTTCCAAGAGAGCTTCACTAGTTTCCAAGAGAGCTTCAGAGCGATTGTTTTCAGATTCAGATTCAAGAAAGACATTACTATGGAGGGAGAAAGAAAATGAAAAGGTGGCAAGATATTAACAATTAGTTTATGTGGACAAAGGTGATTCCCACTGTAACTTTTTCATTCTTTTTGTTTTGAAACAGAGTCTTGTTAGATACCCCCAGGGCTAGCCTCACATTTAAAATACTTCCTCATCCTCCCTAGGGATTATAGGAATGTATCACCAGGGCAAATGAAGAGGGAGTGGAGAAGAAAAACATACATTTCTCATCAAAGAAGCAAAGAAAATCAAAGGCTTTAATTTATTACAGATAACGTGACAATTATAAATTTTCAATGTCAAATTTCTGAAAAATTATAAGTATGATTGTGACTGAATTAGAATTCAATCAACATACCTGACTGGGTAATTTAAAATATTTTTCTGAAGATTCTCGTTCTTCTAGGTCTTCATATATTATTCCTGGTATTGCCAGTTGTTCAAAATAAGCTTCCAAATGTTCATCATAAAACTCTTCATCATTAATATCATCATCTATTAATTAATTAGGGAAAAAAACAGAACAGGCTTTAAAGTAGCAACTAACTACACATAATTTTTAATTTAAAAAAAACCTGTTAAAACTAATAGGTCAGTGGACATTGAGTTTGTTTTTGTATCTGAGATGAGCAAATTATTATAATTTTAGTTAAAAGTAATAGTAGCATATAAATGTAATTATTAACCACTTTGAGAGAATAGGACAGAGATTCTGGATTCCACAATAAGTTAGGACATGATAAAACATCACAAATGGGTAGGAAAAGAGCAGATCATTCACAAACTATATAATAAATAGTTAACTCTACCAAAAAAAGGATAAATAAAGCTATCCACAGAAAGTGGAGGGGAGACATAAAGAGAGAGGAAGTGACACTGCAATGATTCTCAATGTTCCAACACCCAATTCAGCATGGCCTGGCCTGCAGAGCTAAATACTTTGGCCCTAGCTTACTTTTCTGAGTTTCTTCACCAATGTGAAGCCTACCAAACATGCTATAAAAATACCTTACTAACTGATGACTAATCCTCAATCATGGTTTTAGCTGAAGCTGTTCTGCTTCCAGAAAGGGTCTAATCCAAATCCCATCTTATTTCCAGAGAATATCACAGATAACTTCTTCAATCATAACTGATCTATCACTCCTTCTGATGCTTAAGCACATTCTTATACTGTTGAAATATACTTTGTCCAATCCCAGTTTATGCATTTGGGTAAGGTCTCTTAAAGGACAAAGACTAAATATTTCTTTGTTCCCTCAACTCCTTAATACAGTACTCTACAGTATGTAACCCCTCTAGATGGCTAATAAGGTACTCTTAATGATGTCAAACTAAGGGGTGAGTATAATCTTATCAGAAAAGTCCTATCACTCAATAGAAGAGACCAGTGGGTGCCAGTCATAGGAGGAAAATGATTAGGCAAAAGAAAACTAAGCTGCCATAGTAATGGCTATATCACAGACATGAAATAAAGTGGAATGGCAAGATAAAAACTTGAAAATACAAATTACTACTATGCAGTACCAGAAGAATCTTCCAAACTGGCCAGTGACATAAGTTTTTCATTTTCTAAGAAGCTAACATGGTTTAAGTCACTGTTTAGAGTCTTGTCTTCTTTTCCAGCATCAGGCACAACAATCTAAGAGAAATAAAATGACATATAAGAGAAGCACACTCACTGCTTTGAAGAGAACAGTACAAAGTTACAAAATAGACCAAGTATTTTCTGAATCCACACTGTGCACAGTATCTGAAAAATCACAATTTTGTCACTAACTAACAAGGTGTTTTACATGTATTAGTAACTTTCCTTCTGGCCCCACCAATAAGACATCCCTGAAATTTAAGGTCTCAATCAAATTGTTTGTACACGTCAGAAGAATCATAGTTCATATATTAAGACACATCTGAATTAGAGCAATACAAAGTTTGCTCTTGAATTATAAAAATAATAGAAAAGCCAAGTGACAGTGGCACATGCCTACAATTCTAATATCTGAGGACCATGGTTCGAAGCAAATCTGGGCAGCAAAGTCCAGTCTATGAGACTCTTATGTCTAATTAACCATAAAAAAAAGCCAGAAGCGGCCAGGCACTGATGGCTCACACCTGTAATCCTAGCTACTCAGGAGGCTGAGATCTGAGGATCAAGGTTCAAAGCCAGCCTGGGCAGGAAAGTCCGTGAGACTCTTACCTCCAATAAACCACCAGAAAACCAGCAGTGGCACTGTGGCTCAAGTGGTAGAGTACTAGCCTTGAGCTGAAGAGCTCAGGGATAGTGCCTAGGCCCAGAGTTCAAGCCCCACAACTGGAGAAGAAAAAAAAAAAAAAAAAAAAAAGCCAGAAGTGGAGCTGTGGCTCAAGTGCTAACCATGAGCACAAAAAAGCTCAAGGATAGCACCTAGGCCCTGCATTCAAGCCCCAGGACTGGCACGCGCGCATGGGCGCACATACACATACATACCCCCTCCCCCCACACACACACACACAAAAGGCAGAAAAACAGGTCTTAGTAGCCCTTTAGCTAAGCAACACTACCATAATATAACATTGAAACAATTGATTTCTCTGGTCCTCAATCTGGGGACTATGGAGTTCTAAAGGCACACAGCAATTTACTAAGGACATTCAAGGCTCAGAATGGAAATACATTTTCCTCTCAGTACCAAATCTATTTCATACTTACATTAAATATATACATTGAAATAATTGAAGCCAGGCACCAGTAGCTCACATCTATAAATTTAGGTACTCAGAAGGCTAAGATAAGAGGATCACAGAAGTCAGGCTAGACAGAAAAATCTGTGAGATTCTTTCAACTAAATAACAAAACAGTGGACTGAAGTCATGTCTTAAGAGGTAGAGTATCACCTTTGTGCAGGTAATGGAGAACTCAAGGGCCCTGAGTTCAAGCCATGGTATACACGTATACACACACACACACACACACACACACACACATATACACAGAGAGAGAACTGGTAGAAGGTTTAAGAGTTAGATTTCAAAATATATACTTAGTTTTAGATAAAAACATGGGATGTCAACCATTTTATAGTTAAGAGTGGACAGAACTGAGCACATTTCATAAACAGGCACAGGATAGTGCCAGCATTACTCTTGAGTCTTTATTACCACAGATAAATTATATTTCTGTTAAAGCTTTATCAATTTGTTATGCCAGATACAAGAAAAAAGTCTAATATTAACAAATGTCTATAAAATATGAACCTTTACTCCTCTAAAACACTACAGAAGTCCATAAAAATGTAAAAATTTACCTTATGCTCTTGATTATTCATCCACGATTTTAAACAAAAATCAGGTGAATCTGATTAAGAAAACAAAAACAAAAACTGAAAAGACAAATTATTTTATCAAATAATACCAAAAAAACAACAAATTAATTATATCTTGAAATATAAGTACTTTCAAATGACAGTATAGAATTTTACCTTTGGTCAGTTAAAATTCTTTAAATGTTAGGATGGAAAAATCATAAAAGTACACATATACCATAAAACTTAGATATGAATCCACTCAAGACTTTAAAATTAACTTCTGGCCGGGCACCAGTGGCTCATACCTATAATACTAGCTACTCAGGGGGCTGAGATCTGAGGACCATGGTTCAAAGGCAGTTCAGGCAGGAAAGTCTGTGAGTCTCCAATAAAACTACGAGAAAACTGGAAGTGGTGCTGTGGCTCAAGTGGTAGAGTGTTAGCCTTGAGCTGAAGAGCTAAGGGACAGCACCCAGATCCAGAGTTCAAGCCCCACAACTGACAAAAAAGAAAACAAAAAACTTCTGCTTTGGGCTGGGAAGGTGGCTCAATGGTAGAATGCTTGCCTTGCAAGCATGAGGCCCTCGGTTGAATTCCACAGCACCACATGAGAAAAAAAAAAAAGCCAGAAGTGGTGTTGTGGCTCAAGTGGTAGAGTGCAGTGACAATGCCCAAGCCCAGAGTTCAGGCCCCACAACTTTGTATGGGATATAGGGAAGAGACAAGAGAAATGACAGACAAACCCAAGCTTTAGATAACTAGCCTCAATATTCTATTTTTGTGGTCAGCTGTGGGGCTTGTGCTCAGGGCCTGGCTGCTGTCTCTGAGCTCATGCTCAAAGCTAGCACTCTACCACTTTGATGAGCCATAGTTCCACTTTGAGTTTTCTGGTGGATAATTGGAGATATAAGTCTCAAGGATTCATGCCTGGGCTAGCTTTGAACCATAATCCTCAGATCTCAGCCTCCTGAATAACTAAGATTACAGGTATGAGCCACCAGAGCCCGGCTTTCACTTCACTTTTTCAATAAGTGCACACAAGGGCATTCAATAAATATACTATAATACAATGTAACTGCTCCCAGACCCATACCAAAAGGGACTACCATACAAGATGATAAGAAAATAATGAGACTCATCTGCTCCATTACCAAAACTATGGGCATATAAGAAAATGTTCATTTTTAGAAATGCATACAAAAATATGCAGAAACAAAATGTTTGTAATGTAAAATGAAAAAAAAGTATAAATAAGTAAGAAGGCTGAGAATGTATGTGAGTGCTACAGTGCTGGCCTAACATTTCTGAGGTTAAGTCTGACCCCAGTTTGATGCTGTAGCTATCTGACAGCATTACTTCCAATGGAAAGGAGACTGTAGCTTAAACCAGTTAAGACAAGAGAGCTTTTCCTATGAAAAGTACTATAAATATGATAACTGTGCATATCAAACCTAAGCATTATCAGTTTACCACAGGACAGCATAAGGTAAATGCCAGTCCAAAAATAGTCAAATGAAAAACAGTAAAATAAACACACATGTGCCAGTGGCTCAGGCATACAGTCGTAACTATGAAGGAGGCTGAAATCTGAGGATCACGGTTCAAAGCCAGCCCAGGCAGGAAAGTCTGTGAGACTTATCTCCAATTAACCACCAAAAAAGCCAGAAATGAAACTGTGGCTCAAGTAGTAGAGTACTAGCCTAAAGCAAAAAATTTCAGGGACAGCTCCCAGACAGAGTTCAAGCCCAGTGACTAGCACAAAATGGGAAGGAGAAGAAAGGAAAGGGGAAGAGGGAAAGTAGAGAGAAGAAAGGGAAAAGAGGGAAAAAAGAAAGGGGAGAGGGAAAGGAAAGAAGAGAATTTTAGTACCTGGTACTTGTTCCAGTGGTGAAACACTATGCAAAAGATCCTGTCTCTGCAAGGATGCTGTACTTTTAGCCTGCTCCTCTTCTGCTCTTGGTGTATCACTTTGAAAAGTAGACTGTTTTGTGAAAACTTTTGACAAATGTGGACTTTCTTTACAGCTCTTTTTCCTAAAGATGGAAATCTTTATTAGTGAATCAGAATAAGTTACCTATTATAAATTCCTATCAGTCAGTAACATACTTCATCTAAAAGAAAATTAGACACACACAGTGAAAAAAAAAGTATTTCTAGGTGTAGCCCAACAATGCAACCAGTATTACTGTTGGTTATTCTTGGGACTGAATCAACATGCTAGGTCCAGATCACTTTCTAGATATCCCCTCCCCAAAGAATCAAGAGGGAACTACTAGCAGAGCACTATGAATACCGGGACTTGGGCACCCTATATTCCTAGCTACTCAGGAGGTTGAGATCCAGAGGATTGACATTCAAAACCAGACCAGGCAGAAAAATCTACAAGACTTGGTCTCCAAAATAACCACCAAAAGGCCTATACTCCTGGCTACTCAGGGAACTAAGATCTGAAGATATAGTGTAAAGCCAGCCCAGGCAAGAAAGTCTGTAAGACTCTTATCTTCAATTAAAACATAAAAAAAAGTAGAGCTGTGTTTCAAGTGGTATAACACTAATCTTGAATACAAAAGCTCAGGGACAGTGCCCAGGCCCTGAGCTCAAGCCCCAGAAATGGGGGTGAGGGAGAAGCCAGGCTAGAGATGTGGCTTAAATGGTAGAGTGCAAGCCATCAACCTGCAAGCTGAATGAAAACAGGCTCTATTACTGGTACACACACAAAAAAAGAGTAAACTCCCAAAGACCCTCCACATTCATAATTTCACCAGTATCACCATCTGCATGGGACTAACTCAAAGATGCCTTCACATGTCTATTTTAGTTCCAGGACTTCTCTTTACTGGTAGTCTAAACCCTATAAAACTACACATCCCCTACTTGACTCCTCCACAAACAAAAAACCTTCCCACTGTGCTTCTGGATCTTTAAGGTCTGCGATTCCTGAGCCTTTTCTCTAAATGGTCTTTTGGCTTTCCTTCCTTAATGAAAGCTTGAGTATCCTCAAAGATAACTACTCCCAATTTCTATTTCTCTCATAGCCTTGCTAGTACCCTCTGGAGCCTCACAACTCTGAATCATGCACTAACCTTCACATCACCAGCCTCTAGTACAACTTTATAATCCTCTTACCCCACTAAGTCTCCAATTCACTGTACCACCACACACCACTGTGCCTCACTCTTTTGGTGTCCATTCTTCCTTCACCTAAATCCTCACTGCCTTCATCAAACTTCACACCTGCTTAAATCCAACTGTCTACTTATTCCTCTCAGGCTAGAGAAAACATCACAGTGACACTATATTATCTCACACTAAATTCATGCCATGCTGGGTCTGTGACACTACCTGGCAATGTTACTACTTTCCTTATCCATTTACATCCCCAGATACCTATGAGATTTTACTCTTCAAACTCCTCCTCCACCCTCACACTGACTTGATGACCATGGCTTCTACTTTGGAGCTTATTTTTAACCTGAAGCACTGAAGAGTAACTATCACAGACAGATTCTACTACTAGGCATACCACAGCCCACAGTCCCTCCGATGCTAAGGAGCTGTCCATAGTCTTATCCATCTAAAAGCTTCTCCATCCACTGGACTCTGGAGCCCACTGTTATGTATGTAGACTCTTTTCCAGCCATTCTCTCCTCAATCTACATAATCATCCCTACTGCTATGTAAACATGCAGTAACATTACTTGCGGCAAAAAAAAAAGTACAATTTCATCCACCAGCTATCACAAGCCTCACTTCTGTTTCCCTCTCACTTCTGTTTCCCTTTGCAGCAAAACTCAACAAGCTGCCCACTGTCTCTACTATTAACTCCCTACTCTCTTTCAAACTGACTCTCAGTGGTCTATTATATCTCTATCTACTTCCAATTAAACTACATGTAAAGGTTAGTTATCTATCTTAACCCTAATGGAGGTACAGGGGATTGAACTCAAGGCCGTGTACTTACTAGGTAAGTACATACCCTAAGCCACTCTGCCAGTCCCTATTCCATTAGTTTTTGGGGTTTGGGGGGAGGGGGTATGAGGGGAAAGCGGGGTGGAGGGGAGGCTGGGTGAGTATGTGCCAGTGCTGGGACTTGAACTCTGCACAGCCTGAATACAGTCACTGAGCTTCTCTGATCAAGGCTAGCACTCTACCACTTGAGCCACAGCTCCACTTCCTGCTTTTTGGTGGTTGTTTGGAAATAATAGTTACATGGACTTTCCTGCCTAGGCTGGCTTTAAATGGTGATCCTCAGTTTTCAACCTCCTGAGTAGCTAGGACTAAAGGCTTGAGTCACCAGCAGCCCATCTTCCAATAGTTATTTTTTAAATGGGATCTTGTTTCATGCCTAAGCTAGCCCAAACTGCAGTATAGCTAAAATGACAGGCATCTAGCTGATGACAGGCAAGCCTTTCTCATAGTGGAGAAAGTTTTGAGAACTTTTTTTCAGACTGACCTCCTAAAAGTAGCCAGGCTTAAGTCACTAATTCTACCCAGCTTTTTTTTTTTTTTTGGAGGGGGGTCTGGTCCTGGGGCCTGAACTCTGGGCCTGCGCCCTATCCCTCAGCTCTTCAGCTCAAGGCTAGCACTCTACCACTTGAGCCACAGCACCACTTCCAGCTTTTTTCTTTTTGCTTATGTGGTGCTGAGGAATCGAACCCAGGGCCTCATGTATGCAAGGCAAGCACTCTACCACTGAGCCACCTTCCCAGCCCCCCCAGCGTTTTTGTTTTTGTTTTTTTTTGAGACAGGGCTCCCTATGTGGCCCAGGGTGATCTTGTTTCAGTCTTTTTTTTTTTTTCCTCTTATAGAGCTAAGGATTGAACTTTTATTATTTTTTTTTAACTCTGCTTGGTAAAAAGTTACATGTAATAAGCCCATGAATAAGGCTTACTTGTATACATTTTGGATTTGGAGGGAAGGTTTTTTGTTATTTTCTTGGGGGGATACTGGTTGGAACACAAAGGCCCTATCACAAAAGCCACACACACACACACACACACACACACACACACACCCTTTTTGCTTTAGTTATCTTTCAAATAGGGTCTCACATTTTTCACACACACACACACACACACACCCTTTTTTGCTTTAGTTATCTTTCAAATAGGGTCTCACATTTTTTTCACAGGCCAGCCTGAACTGAAATTTCTCACATAGCTAGGATGACAGACATCTACCACCAATATGCTCAGCTTTATTAGTTGAGATGAAGGTCTGAATAATTTTTAGACCAACCTGGCCTCAAACTGTGACTCTTCAAATATTTACCCCTTAAGCAGCTAGGATTACAGACGTGAACCTGTATGCCTGGCCACTGTTTAAGATATTTCTAGGATAGCTCCCAAGATACTTTTCTTCGTAACCTCCAACACTAATTTTTAGTCTATTCCTCCTATCCCCAAATTCTCAATGTTGAAGTGGCTGAAGATAATTCCTGGGGCTCTTTGTTTCTCTTTCTCCCTCACTCCTTGACTCCCCAGCCTTCTAGCTGGTCTTCCTGCTCCCATTTCCACACTCTATAGTCTATTCTCCACCAAACAATAAAAAGGCCAGCATGGGGCTGGGAAGATGGCTCAGTGGTAGAACGCTTGCCTTGCATGCATAAGGCCCTTGGTTCAATTCTTCAGCACCACATAAAGAAAAAAGAAAAAAAGCTGGAAGTGGCGCTGTGGCTCAAGTGGTAGAGCACTACCCTTGAGCTTAAGAGCTGATAGACAGTGCCCTGGCCCAGAGTTCAGACTCCATGACCGGACCAAAAAAACAAACAAACAAACATGCCAGCATGAGCCTTTTTAAATATAATCTGGGGCTGGGAAGATGGCTCAGTGGTACAGGGCTTGCCTTGCATGCATGAGGCCCTGGGCTCGATTCCTCAGCACCACATAAGCAAATAGAAAAAGCCGGAAGTGGCACTTTGGCTCAAGTGGTAGAGTGCTAGCCTTGAGCTGAAGAGCTGAGGGACAGCGCTCAGGCCCTGAGTTCAGGCCCCACGACCGGACCCAAAAAATAAATAAATAAAATCTAAATATAATCTGGACACAACCCTTAGAGGGTTTCCCATTTTACCTGGAGTCAGAATCAAGGTCCAGGTCACCTCCCCCAAGCATCCTAGCTGCTGTATGAGCACAATGAATATGTTCCCATAATAGTACCTTTCTGCTGACAGCTGTGGCCTCTGCTGAAATCCTCTTGAACCATAGGGCCCACAAAGCTAACTCCTTCTGTCAAGTCTTAAGTCATACCTGACTTCCTTATTGGCCATTACCTTCAGCCTTCCTAAAACCATTTTTACTATGATTTTTCTAGTAGTAGGTTATCCCTTCTAATATACAATAAAAACAGCATTTTAATTATTTTGTTTAACATTTGTTTTTGTTCACTGGTATTTCTAAAGTACCTAGAAATATATGGTGTGTAGCAGGCTGTCAAAAATGCACAGAGAAAAAACGTGATGGTTAATCTTGACTATCAACCTAACTGGACAGAAAGATACCTAAGAGATTACTAAAGCATACTTTTCGATATGTTATGATGATATTTCCAGAGAGGACGCTCACATGGACAGCAACTGAATAAGGAATACTTGTCCTGAATGTAGGTGACACCTTCCAATAGACTAGTGGGTCAGATGGAACAAAAGCAGGAGAAGGCCAGCTCATGAAAGCTCAAATCCACCTAAGTAGGTGCATCTACTGCTGCTGCCATTGCCCATGGACATCAAACTCCAATTTCTTCAGACTTTCAATATGAAATCACACCACTGACTCTCCAAAGAGGTTCCAGGCTTCAACAGACTGGGGCTGCATCAATGCTTCCCCTTATTCTGAGGCTTCCATCTCCAAAACTGAACAGCTTCTGCTGGCTCTCCAGCATACAATGGCCATTGTTGGATTATCCAGACTCAGATTATATAAATCAATCTAATAAACTACTTTTATAATTATTTATATGTATATATAGATATATAGATAATACATGTGGCTATGTATCCTATCAGTCCTGTTCCTCTAGAGAATCCCAAGACAGTTATTAAATATATGAGCAGTTATGCTTAATATATAGAAAGCATTTATATATAAAGGCTATCAAAAGACAAATCACAACAAAAATATAAGTACTGAATAACTTATTCAACCTTTTCAACACTCAAAAATAAATTTAAACACAAAAACCTAAAGATGATAATATCATCACCAAGAAATAACTATCAGCTGGGGACATAGGCTCAAGTAGTAAAGTGCTTGCCTGCCTAGCAAGCACAAGGCCTTGAGTTCAAACCCCAATAGTACCAAAACAAAAAGAAACAAAAACTAATTACCAGTTAATTTTGGTTTTCCAGACTTTTATAATATACATATATACATATATGTATATATACATACACATAAAATTATACGTATATATATGCATATATACATATATGCAGATACATACATATTATAGATATATACATATCCATATATGTATACATATACATGTGTATATATATATACATACATACTGGTAAATTACTTTTAGTTCTAAAATTAAAAGTAGATTCTTCATCTAGGTGCTAGTGGCTCACACCTATAATCCTAGCTACTCAGGAGACTGAGATCACAGTTCAAAGCCAGCCTGGGCAGGAAAGTCTATGAGGCTCTTAATCTGCAATTAACTGCCAAAAAAGAGCTAGAAATGGACCTGTGGCTCAAGTGGTAGAGCACTATCCTTGAGCATAACAGCTTAGGGCTAGCACCCAAGCTTTGAGTTCAAGCCCTAGGACTGGCGCACACGCGCACGCACACACGCACACACACGCACACGCGCGCGCGCACACACACACACACACACACACACAAAAGAACCTTCAAATGTATAGGATTCAAAGAAATAATCACTGTTATATACATCTAGTAAGCATGTACATTGATACAAGTTTTCTACAAAGTTAATATATTTACTTGTAATGGTCTTTAATGTCAAACACTTTACACTCAGCAATCTAAAACCTAGGAATTTATTTTGGAAAGCATCTCACAGATGTGTAAATTGTTTGCATAAATGTGTATGTAAAAAGAAGTCATTTAGGGGCTGGGAAGGTGGCTCAGTGGTACAGCGCTTGCCTTGCATGCATAAGGCTCTGGGTTTGATTCCTCAGCACCACATAAGCAGAAAAAAAAAAGGCCAGAAGTGGCACTGTGGCTCAAGCGGTAGAGTGCTAGCCTTGAGCTGAAGCACTGAGGGACAGCGCCCAGGCCCAGAGTTTAGGCCCCATGACTGGACCCAAAAAAAAAAAAAGAAGTCATTTATATTTATAACAGCAAAACTGTTTTGTTTTGTTTTTGTCAGTCAGGAGGCTTGAACATGGAGCCTAGGCGCTGTCCCTGAGCCTTTTTGCTCAAGTTAGTGCTCTACCACTTTGAGCCACAGCTCCACTTTCAGTAGTTACTTGGAATTAAGTTTCACAGGGACTTTTTTGCTTCAAACCACTATCCTCAGATCTCAGCTGCCTGAGTAGCTAGGATTACAGGTATAAGCCACTGCACGCAGCTACAGTAATCTTAACTACAACACACTTGATTCTATTAACATTACAGCCATTAACATTATGACCAATTTATATCAATTATAACTGAAAGGACACCGAATTAATTTTTAAAATTAAAATAGTATATAGAGTTTAATCTTCCTTTGTAAAAAAATTAAATATAGATAGTGGTGCTGTGTTTCAAGTGGTAGAACGCTAGCCTTGAGCACAAAGAGGCTCAGGGACAGTGCCCAGGCCCTGTATTCAAGCCCCAGGACTGGCAAAAAGAATACACTTCAACCAAAACTCTGATGGTTCACTTTTTTTTTTTTTTGGTCAGTTGTGGGGCCTGAACTCTGGGCCTGTCCCTCAGCTCCTCAGCTCATGGCTAGTGCTCTACCAATTGAGCCACAGTGCCACTTCTGGCTTTTTTTTCCTGCTTATGTGGTGCTGAGGAATCGAACCCAGGGCCTCGTGCATGCAAGGCAAGCACTCTACCACTGAGCCACCTTCCCAGCCCTGATGGTTCATTCTTGTAATCCTATCTACTCAGGAGGCTGAGATCTGAGGATCACGTTTCAAAGTCAGCCCAGGCAGGCAAGTTGAGGAGACTCGTATCTCCAATAAACTACTTAGAAAAAGCTGGAAGTAGTACTGTGGCTTAAGTGGTAGAGCACTAGCCTTGAGCTAAAAAAGCTCAGCGAGAGGCCTAATTGAGTTCAACGCCTAGTTAGTGGGGGAGGGAGGATAATGTATAAAAATATAAAACATCTGAAAGAATGTAATCAGTGGCTATTCTGTAGTTAATTATAAGCTTTTATTATATTTAAAATACTTTATTTTTTCAATGAATGTACATTACTTTTAGAGTCAGAAATAAGGTTTTAAAATGTTATTAAAATGTTATTAAAATATATAAACAAATCTCTTAAAGATGCTTTTTAAAGACTGAAAGTAAGTGAAAGTGAACACTTACTCATCTTCCTGGAAGCTAAGCTTTAACCTTTCTCTTGGTTCAGTATCACTTTGGCAACTGGGAGATGACGCAGATGGAACAGAAAACCTCCCTTCTATGAAGTATGATGCCTGAACATCAGGAAACCTGAACAAAATTGTTAAGAACAAAATGATGTACATTTAAAAATCACGATGGCACAAGGCCACACCAAAGTAAAAACAACCATCAGGGAATAAAAACAAACAGAAACCCCAGTGTTCAAAATAATCATCTTCTGTGCAAAGCACCAGAAACTTACGCATCAGCACTAGGGCGTTTATCTACACCAACAATAAAGCCACAGAAATCCTAAAGCTAGGAGAATTTTTAGTGAGTTGGTCCAACATCTTCATTCCAAAGTAAAGATAACGTTTCTCACATAAAGTCAGATTCAGAGGAGATGGTCAGATAAGTACAAGCAAAACTGTATACATTATCCAAACCCTAAACAAAATGATAAGATGAGCTACACACATCACATTTGGAGTGATACAAATAAAACACATATTTAACCAAACATCTATTTGATTACATAGTGGGAATAAGAAAAGTTAAACACAAAAGCTGGCTTACTTAGGCCGGGCACCAGTGGCTCACACCTGTAATCTTAGCTACTCAGGAGGCTGAGATATGAGGATCGTGATTCAAAGCCAGCCCAGGCAGGAAAGGCCAAGAAACTCTCATCTCCAATTAACCACCAGAAAACTGGAAGTGGCGTTGTGGCTTAAGCGATAGAGTAGTAGCTTTGAGCTGAAGAGCTGAGGGACAAGCAGTCAGGCCCAGCATTAAAGCCCCATGACCAACGAAAGGAAAAAGCTGGCTTAGCTCCTAAGAAAAAGAAACTTGATCTAAGGAACTAAAAGTTATTAGAATATGGGCTGGGAAGGTGGCTCAGTGGTAGAGCGCTTGCCTTGCATGCATGAGGCCCTGGGTTCGATTCCTCAGCACCACATAAGCAAAAAGAAAAAAAGCCAGAAGTGGCGCTGTGGCTCAAGTGGTAGAGCGCTAGCCTTGAGCTGAAGAGCTGAGGGACAGCGCCCAGGCCCAGAGTTCAGGCCCCATGACCGGACCCAAAAAAAAAAACAAAACATAAAAGTTATTAGAATATAAATCCTGAAGTATAGAAGAGAATGAAAGTTATAGAAGAAAAGCAGCCATAGAAGTCCGGTAAAACATGAACCTGGCTCAAATGAAGTTAAAAAGGAAATGCTGCTACAGCTCTAAACATGTCCAATGTGACCCCAAACCATACCTTGAGCTTAAATGTTCAGATACAGTTAATTCATCTCCTGTGTAGTTAGAAACATAATATATAGATATCTTTTCAGAATCTGTGCTGTTCTATTTGGAAACAAGTAATAAGAAAGCAGATAAATCCAGTGAGCTGAGAGAAGAAATATGATAATTACACTGAGAAAAGCAGGTAGGAAGAAAGAAACCCAAGTTCCAGACCTGGCTCTACAATGTATCAGCATGTTATAGGTTTTACAGACCTAAAAATAAAAAATAAAACAAAGTTCATGTCTTACCTATTATCAGCAATGGATCTATTCCTAGCAAGCGTGGAAACAGCAACAGGCAAGCCAAGATTTGAAGAAAGAGTGACATTTTCTAAAATCTCACTGTTACCAAGTAATGAATTGGTAAAAAAGCTTGGAAATGACTCTTCTGCTATACCTTGAAAATCTTCCATCTCACTGCAACAATAAAAATTTTTCTATGAGTCAGGATCACTATAAAACTTCTTTAAATGATTGAGTATAAGTTTCATGAATCTTGGAAAAACAATAATCTTAGATGACGATAATTTTTGCAATATCATTGAGGGAATATTATTGGCAATTATTCTGAGGTAAAGTCTGAGAATACCTTGCTATCTTATAGTTGAGAACATAAACATCAAACATTAAATTTACATTCTTATAATTCACACAGTATAAAATACATCAGTTCAATTTACTTAAGTTTTAGTGTGCTAAAGAATACCACGGGCTGGGAATGTGGATTAGTGGTAGAGTGCTTGCCTAGTATTCATGAAGCCCTGGATTCAATTCCTCAGTACAATCTAAAAACACAAAAAGCCAGAGTGGCACCGTGGCTCAAGTGGTAGAGTGCTAGCCTTGAGCAAAAAAAGCTCAGGGACAGTGCCCAGGCCCTGAGTTCAAGCCCCAAGACTGGCAAAAAAAAAAAAAAAGAGCCAGGCGCTGGTGGCTCACGCCTGTAATCCTAGGTACTCAGGAGGCTGAGATCTGAGGATTGCAGTTCAAAGCCAGCCCGGGCAGGAGAGACCATGAGACTCCTATCTCCAATAACCCACCAGAAAACCGGAAGTGGCGCTGTAGCTCAAGTGGTAGAGTGCTCGCCTTGAGCTGAAGAGCTGAGGGACAGCGCCCAGGCCCAGAGTTCAAAGCCCCACGGCCAACCAAAAAAAAAAAAAAAAAAGAATACCAGTTACTGCACAAACTTACCTAGTAAAGAAAGCAAAGACAGCTAAACATAATGTCATATACTGATAATAATAGTGTGTATTTAGGAGTTTGGCAGTTTTTTCATTTTTAACATGGAATATAACAAAATTTAGCCCCTAATTTGAGAATATTGTTTTGGTTCTGCTCATTTGTGGAGGAGGAGAGGGGGTGGTGTTAAAGAGATTAAATCCAGGGCCTCTACCATGCTAAATACATGCTCTGCCACTGAACAACATACACCAATAGCGAGAGATTTTTGTTAAAGATAAATACAGTTTCATAAGCAAGCACATCCAAACAAAGGTTTTCAGTAAAATCAAGTATAGCTGGCACATAGATGTGGAAGAAATGGTAGAAGTACACAAAATAGCTCAGTCTGGGAAACTGTAGCACAAAATCTAAGCCTTAACAAGAAGCTACAAGCTCACTTAACCCTGATCATATACTTATTCAATCTTATTCAATCTTATTCAATCTCAATAATCTTTCAAAGTGACTATTAAGCACAATGTGGAATTCAATAAAACTAATGAGGAAGAGGACAAAAAAAATAAATCAGAAAAAAAATCTTAAAATTAGGATATGAGCAGTATATATACCACACAACGATAGGCCTGTCTTCTATTTCTTCTTCTTACCACCCTCTCTAGGTGACTGCTCTTAGTTTCAAAGCTTCAAATATTACATTGAAATTTACACCTCCAGCTTAGGCCTCTCCTCTGCATCCCAGGCATTTCCAATTAGATACCTAACTGGCACATAAATCTCAAATGTTGATTCTACCTCAAAACTTACTCTGACTCTCTAGTCCTCTTCACCACAGAAAACAGCCATTCTAATCTTAGTTATGTCAAAAATCATCATCTAAGTGATGGCAATTAACCTCCATTAACCTCCACTTACCTCCATACACTAAGCAAATTCCAATCACCTTGAATCCTGCCATCTTTCATGACCTCCACTGCCACTACCACCACTTCCTGCCTGGACATCCAGTGTCTTAATCCATCCTTACTACTTTCTTCCCTGATCTGTTCCTCATGTACTGGAGTTACCATTTCCTGGCTAAGATCTTCATCTACTGGTATTCTATCACATCCAAAATAAAAGGCCATCCTGATGGCCAGCAGGGGTTACAGCATCTCTGACTTTATTTCATAGTACTCACCTCCCTGCTTACTCCACCCCAACCTCCCAGTTACTACTCTGTCTGATGTTCTCTTCATCTGTTCCACATACCTTAGTTACCAGGAATTCTAACCCAGATTCTACATGATACAATTTATTCTAGAAGTTTCCAGCTCAAATGCCTTCAGGCACAATACTATAAGAAAACAGGGCTGTAGGGCCACTAGGAAGTTATAGACCCCTGAAAACAAAGCAACCACGTATAATGGCACATACATGTAATCCCAGCACTTAGGAGGCTGAAATAGTAGAGCAGAACCATGAGTTCTACATGACCCTAGGCTACATACTAAGTTCAAAGCAAAAACACTGTTGTCAAACAAAGGATAACTGGTATAGGGGGGTCGCTGAGGACAAAACCTGTCTAAAATACTCTGAAACATGCTATATCTGTCTACACTACTACCACCCCTTCTAATGAGAAACCTCTCATCAGTCTCCATTCTTCTATTCCTGTTGCCCTACAGTAATTCTCTATACAGCAATCAAAAGGACCACAAATAAGAACCAAGTACCATGATCCCACTGAAAACACTTACTCTCCCAGCTCATCTTGCATGTCCCTCAGGCTCATTCACCACATACAGGAATTTCCTTTCCTATAACCTTCCCAAGCCTATGCCTACCTCAGGGCCTGGAATATTCTCCACATCTTGAATAGTTATCTTCCTCCTATCTTTCAAACCAACTAAAATTTCAGTTTCTAACAGAAGCTAATCCTTATTGCCAAGCATGGCCCCACTATTTATTTTTTACTTGCCTTATTCCATTGAAATAATTATCCTCTAAGAGAAGGGACCTTACCTATCTATCCATTACTATTCCCCAATGCCTAGAACAACATTCAGCATATAGCAGGTACTCAACAATATTCTGAAATGAAAGGGGGATGAACAACTTCATCTTTGATTCTAACCCTTATATATTTAGGTCAGATTCTTGAAGAAATGTCTATCCTGGTCATCTTATCTTTCTAGTATCTGATATGGAGCTGAGTGAGTTGGAAAAAAGAGTTGAAAGAAATAATCTATAATCCCTAGTAAGCTTGGTATATTTAATGTCTATTAACTACTATTCAAACTACTTTTCAAAGTTCTTTTTCAAAGTACTATTCAAAGTACAAGTCTAGCTTTAGAGCATTCTTTCCTCTGTATTAATGCACCTCTCTCATCTTCATCGTCAATCCATACCTCTCTCTAGCCATTGTTGGTTTGTTGACAATACCTTAAATCCTCAATGCCTCTAAGGTAGTATTGTCATCAAATATAAAACCAAACTTGTTACATTTCGTCCATTCACTCTCCTGTTACACTTTAGTGTTGACCCAATCATCCCAATTCATTGGCTCTATAAGCTGGACACCTATAATCATCCTGATCACTCTGTTCTCAGTTAACAGTTCTAGTGCTTCTAACTTTGAATATGTCTGGAGCTGAAACCCAATGCTATCTTCCTAAAGCCTGCAGTCTACACATTTTAATGTGAACTACTACATAAATCTCCCAATTTGCCTGCCAAAATCTAGCCTCAAAAATGAATAAATTATTCATTTATAGAGAAACCACATTAAAATACTAAACTCTTCAATCATCAAATCCCAAGAAAATGTAGGTATAAAATATTACCCTATAAAATATTACCATATACATCCACAACTCTTTTCAAGCACAAACCATAAATGACACTCTACTTGACAGTGAAAATAAATAAAACGGCCCCTAAGAGAGCTGATAATCTGATATCTCTATCATGGGATCCATAGTACTAAGTACATCAACAGAGCTTTGCTTCAACATTATGTTAAAAAATTAAAAAATTCCTACCATACCTAACATAATGCACCTTCTTCCCTCATTTCCAAAGTCACCATTCATGAAAAACTATACTCCTTAAAAATGCTAGAAGGGAAAAACTCCCCAGTTTCTATCTGCATTACCCAATTTTCCTCCACCATATAAAGATATATACTGTTCACTTTTCTTTTGCTATATCTGAACCAAATTCCTATCTTTGTAATTGTTTTGCTGTTCCTTTAAAGTAGTAGATTCAATTATTTTAAGCATATCTCTCATTTCATCGATAAAACAATTTTTTGAAGTTGCTATGGAATCCAAAACCTAGACAAACCTGCCAAAATCATTTACTCTTGCTATTTTAAAATATGCATAAAAATTAGGCTAACATTAACATAATATTACTTTTCAAAACTTACCATAAAACTTGCCCAGAAAACTGAAATTTTTGAGAAAAAGTTGATTCAGAAGCAGTAAAAATATCAGTAAAATGACTTTAGGATGGAAAATGCCAATGTAAGTATTGTCATATAAGCAGCTGTCTTCCAGATGACTGTGTGCAAAGGGACCTCATGTTTCACTACACAAAATCTAAAATCAAGAGCACAGCAGTTACTCATTCATTTATATACATATAAACCACATTAAAAATATATACTGCACTGTCATGTTCTGCTTCAAAAGGAAATTCTAGTCCTCACCCCCATCTCCCCCCAAAAAAGAAGGAATAAACGCGAACGTGGACTGCCAGAAATCAAATGTTAAGTTAGTGCAACTATGTGACAGGACTCCTCGGGGTTAAATGAACAAACACGTTACTCCCTGGGTCAGTTTAAGACAAAAAGAAGCCAAAACCGCCCAGTACCACAACCCTAAAGCAATGCCCTAAAGCGCTTTGCAAGAAACTACACAGCAAAAGGCAAAGGGCATTTGTCCCTCAGGAGTCAGAAGTCAAAATGGGAGAGAGGGAGCAAGGTTGCGTCCCCAAAAGCCCACAGTCTGGAGTACAGCCTAGAACGCCTAGGCGCACGAGTAATCTCCCTCGGGCAGCCCGCAGCCCGGAGACACCGTTGGGGGCCGCGCCCCGGGCCCGGGCCCCGCCGCCCACCTCCGTGCTCCGAGCCTGCGACCCCCGCCAGACCCAACCGTCACTAGCCGGCGGGGTCTTGTGGCCGCCACGCGGACCGAGACTGTAAGTGGCCAGCCTCCCGCCCAGGTGCACGCCGAAGGACCCGCGCCCCGTCTCACCCAGCCCACCACAGCCGGAACACAGAACTGAGCAAAACCCTTCACGGGAGGGACAGCCGGAGATGGCGGGGGCCAGCCACTGAAGCAAGTGCGCATGCGCACAGCACCCGAACCCGCGACAACCAGAGCCAGCCGTACCGCGCGCCCCCAGAGTTTACGTCTGTTCGCGGCACGAGGGAAGGGGCGGGGACTCAGAGTCAGCCTTGGATTGGGCAATGGGAAACGACAGCGCCGGGCAGGAGTCTGTGATTGGCTTGGACGGCGTGTCCCTGGATTTGAAGCTGCCTGCGATCAGCTACCGGTCTTCAGCTTGGAACGGAGCCGAAGGCGCCTCTTTGGAGTTGCTGGCCAACTTGAGAATTGCGTCTGCGTTATTCAGTTTGAGCACCTAGGTCACCTTATGCACAAGGAAACGTTCCTGGTGAGCGAATCGTCGACACATTTCGCCTTACGGAGGTAGATGCAGACTTTACCTTCCACAGTTAACTAGCCGTAAAAACGTGTCGTTTCCCTTCAGTCAACCGGTCCCTCCTTGGAATCTTGATAGTTTGTCACACCTGTTGCGCCTCTCTGGAGTAATAGAGAAGTTGGTCCCAGTCGGAAATTAAAGTTACCATCCCGCGACCCCACTCCCGCTCCCCTTTACTGGGGCTTGCTAGGCCTTCTTGCTCAAGGCTAGCATATACACTTGGGCCACGCCTTCGGCCCAGCATTTGACTGGTAAATTAGATATGGCAGTTCATGGAATTTTCTGACCAGGATGGCTTTGAACGACGATCCTCCAGCCTCCTGTGTAGCTAGGAATAGTGTGGGCCACTGGCACCTAGCTTCACCATCTTTTTTAAAGCCCCAAGCCCCATCACCACCTGCTCACCACCCTTTACTGACACTATTAAGATAAAGCACTTCCTTGTTGAAAAGAACTATTCAACTTGTGGGTGAGGACGAGAGGGAAAAACTGGGAGAAAGACAGGGAAGGAGTGACATAGTCCAAAAAGAAATATACTCTTTACCTTACTTATCTAACTGTAACTCCTCTGTACATCACCTTTATGAAAATAAAAAAAAACTAATGCACTTACCTTTCATTCAAAATTTCAAGTTACCATTCAGTCCTCTATCTTAAATTTGCTAATATATAACCTCTGAAGGAAAAGATATCCTGCTTTTCCAAGGCTCATTCAACATTTTCTGAATGTCTTTTTTAAGGCTTTCATTGCAGTTTTAAGGAGTAAAAAGGGAAAACACAAAGTTGAATTTAACAGTTACTATTCCCTAGATTAACGTGGTGAAGGATGTGTATATCTGATCTCTTCCCAAAATACCATATAGCTGCCATTCCTGATTTACCTCTCCACTAGACCTTATACCCACAACCTTCCTTAAAAATGCTATTCCTAGGCAGTGGCTCTGGGAGCCTCGTGGACGCGTGGCCAATACTCGCAGTAGGGTGGCAGTGCAGGCAGGGGTGGTGGTAACATTGCCCAGCGCACCCCGCGCCATCACAAGCCCTGCGCTGGTGCAACCTCCTTGGCTCCCATCATGGCTGACCAGCTAACAGAAGAACAGATTGTGAATTCAAGGAAACTTTCTCCTATTCGATAAACGTGGTGATCACAACATCACAACAAAGGAACTTGGGACTGTCATGAGGTCACTGGATCAAAACCTAACAGAAGCTGAATTGCAGGGTATGATCAACGAAGTGGATGCTGATGGTAATGGCACCATTGACTTCCCAGAGTTTTTGACTATAATGGCCAGAAAAATGAAAGACACAGATAGCGAAGAAGAAATCTGTGAGGCATCTCCGAGTCTTTGACAAGGATGGGAATGGTTACATCAGCGCAGAACTACGTCATGTCATGACAAACTTAGGAGAAAAACTAAGAAATGAAGTAGATGAGATGATCAGAGAAGCAGATATTGATGGAAATGAACAAGTGAACTATTAAGAATTCGTAGATGGTGACTGCAAAATGAAGACTTTCTTTCAACTCTTTTCCCCCCTAGAAGAATCATTGAATCTTTTACTTACCTCTTGCAAAAAAGAAAAAGTTCAGTTATTCAGTTTCTATATAGCAAAACTGAATGTCAAAAGTACCTTCACATAAAATCTGCATGTAGGGGCTGGGAAGGTGGCACTTGCCTTGCATGCATGAAGCTCTGGGTTCGATTCCTCAGCACCACATAAACAAAAAGAAAAAAGCCCGAAGTGACACTGGCTTAAGTGGTAGAGCGCTAGCCTTGAGCTGAAGAGCTGAGGGACAGCGCCCAGGCCCAGAGTTCAGGCCCCACGACCGGACCCAAAAAAAATCTGCATGTATTGGTTGGTGGTCCTGTCCCCTAAAGATGAAGCTCCATAGGAGTTTTACAATATACTTCTTCCACCTTAATGGAAAAAAAGAAAATGCTGTTCCTGCTGCAGTGCTGATGGCTTATACTTATAATCCTAGCTACTCAGAAGGCCGAGATCTAAAGATCACAGTTCAAAGCCAGACCAGTCAGGGCTGAGACTCTTACCTCCAAAAAACTAGAAGTGGAGCTATGGCCCAAGTGGTAGAGTGCTAGCCTTGAGCAAGAAAGTTCAGGGACAGTGTCCAGGCCCTGACCTGAATTCAAGACCCAGGGCTGGTGTGTATATGTGTGTGTTTGATGAATCTCAGCTTTCTGAGTAGGGAGGATTACAGGTGTAAGCCATCAATACTCAGCTAAATGTAATGTTTAATTATCTCTTTTTTTTTTTTTTTGGTCAGTCGTGGGGCTTGAACTCTGGGCCTAGGCACTGTCCCTCAGCTCTTCAGCTCAAAGCTGAGCCACAGTGCCACTTCCGGCTTTTTCTGTTTATGTGGTGCTGATGAATCGAACCCAGGGCCTCATGCATGCAAGGCAAGCACTCTACCACTGAGCCATCTTCCCAGCCCCTAATTTTTATTTCTTTAAGCCTTTTTGTTTTTGTGAGATGGTAAGAGATAAGTAATTCTTATTACACCTAAAATATATTCTATTTTGTAAGGCAAAAGATTCACATTTTTAAAAATATTTTTATTAAATAATCTACTTGGATAGTAATTACAAAAATTTAAACAGTAATTCAAAAAATGAAAGGTAAATTTCTTTAAAAAAAAACAATATCCAAATTATGTTTTGCTGCTTTATACACAGGAATGATTTATTTGACATATTATATTCACTTGCAACATCAGACTGTAAAATTTAAAACATTTCTTAATATGTGTCCGTGACAAAGTTGTATTCCACAATGATAGGCTTTCACATTAACCAGTATAACAAAGCAGTAAAGACTTAAGACTCTGGTGAAAGTTCCAAATAAAATTTACAAAATGGGTACTTTGAAATGAACTACTGTGTGATTTTCAGTTAATATTGCTTATACGCATCTCATTTCATCAAAGGTTATCAACCAATAAAGCCAATGTTCCTTTGATGCAGACGCACAAACAGGTTTAAGGTTCCAAACACTGTGGTTGTATGTAATACATGCAAGACAGACCCTAAATAAGAAAACTCTTCTGAAAGAAAAAGAAAACAAAAAGCAGCCAGGAATGAAAGCATTTACAAGCATTTGAACAAGGCCTTTACACATTAATTCAGTGCTTTAAACCCCGTCATTCTCAGGTAAGGGATTAAGAGGCCCAGAGAGATATCGTCTGCGAGGGTGAGGATACTGGAGGTTGGCAGTGTCAGCATCGCAAGAGTGCTCTACCAGAGGAGGAGGAGGAGGAGGAAGGAGCTGGGCATAACTGGACCATCTCGATCCAGCCCGTGGGGAATCCAGAGGGGGAAAGAAATACCTGAAACAATTAAGACAGGAACCAAACACCAAAACAAAACATAAACGACAGGGAAAAAGAAAACAAACAAAAAGAAAACAGAAGAAAAAGAGAAAAGTAGTAAATACAAAGAGAACCAAAGAGGAGAAAACACATGCTAGAAAAAAAAAAGCTTTAGTATATTCATGCCAAAACTAACAGAACGTAATAGCACAAATCAAGACCCTTAGTCAAATCAAGACTGCTTAAGCAAGTATAGAAACTTGTAAGAAATACAATCTGTTAAAACTTAAAATGTCAAAAAAATTATCATTATGTTACAAAAAGACATTAACTTTATAAATTTAAGACATTTGACACTATTCTATAAATTTACAAATCTAATGTGTCTTCATTTTGAGCAGTGCTCCATCTGTAGCAGCAGCAAGCACACATTATTAGTAGTGCATACATGATACTAATAACCAATTTCAGTATCCTTTCACATAGCACATGGCTGGCTACCACAACATATTTTTGATGAAATACAATCGTTTGGACATATTTTTCTACAAAAAAAAACTTAGACTAGCCACAGAATTTTGATACATAAAAGATCTCAAAGAATTATGCCCTAAGCCGGGTGCCAGTTGCTTACGCCTGTAATCCTAGCTACTCAAGAGGCTGAGATCTGAAGATTGTGGTTCAAGGCCAACCCGGACAGGAAAGTCCATGAGGCTCTTTATCTCCAATAACCCAGTAGAAAACAGGAAGTGGCACTGTGGCTCAAACGGTACAATGCTCACCTTGAGCTGAAGAACATAGGGACAGTGCCCAATCCCAGAGTTCAAGCCCCACAACCAACAACAACAACAACAAAAAAATTATGCCCTACTATTCTTTAGCCATTTTAGAACTTACCCGTAATATTTATTCATTTTAGAAATGTAAAGACTTATAGTTTTATCGAGTCCTGAACTGAAGATATGAATTCACTGAAACAGAAAACTAAAGAAAATCCTGAGATATAGAATGTAAATTAATTTGCATGCATCTTTTCAGCATAGTTTTAACTGCCTCTCTTTAATGTTTCTCAATTGTAGCCTGAAAGAAACTAAGCTGCAGAGTAACACCATACAGATACACATGCAATATTAGAAACATTTACTGCTTTAGTGACTATGAACTGAAAATTTAAAGGATGTTTCTATTTTACTACCAAATGAAAAAAATACCACCAAATGCTTCTCTTGGCTACAAACTGTACAATTTACTCTCAACTCTAGTACTATTTTACTAATTA